AAAAAAAAAAAAAAAAAAAATGCTCATATAATGAGAAAGTCAAGGTGCTGAGAGGTGGGCAGGGAGTCTGGGAAACTGTGTCAGCCACCACTCTGATGGCACTTCATATTTAAATACGAAAACAACAAACTCTGGATAGCCAAAACAATGAAAGATCAGGGCAGTTTATTCACACCGCTAACCAGAGCTTCATAACTAACAAAACAACTCGAAGTGGGGTCAGGAAATCCAGTTTCTCCACTTTCAGCAGCCGAAGCCAAACCGTTGCCCTCAGGCCTTCCAGCTGCACAACGCACTCACCTTAGCACGATCTTGTCCCTGAAGAGGAGAAATCGCCCACCATCGCCAATTACATAATGCGTCATGGGCTCTCGGGTGGGGTTTTTGGTCTCTAAAATGAGGCCTAAGATGCTTCGACCCCAAAAGAGGGAGGGGGGGCGGTGCGAGCGGCCACAGCCTACTGAAAGCAGGAAAGTACGGCCCCCCCAACCCCGCTCCTGGGGTCGGGCTGGGTCCGAGACAGGCCCCTGGCTGGGCCTTCAAGTACCAGAAAGTGGGTCAGTTTCTCCAGCAGGCCAAACCGCCACGCCACAGGCCGAGTTCCCACTGATCCGGGCAGCCCCCAGGCCTACAGCTTGAACGCCCGGACCCCTGCCCTCCGGGGCTGCCGGAACGTTCCCCCCATACACACACCCGCTCCGTCTCCGCTGGGTCCCACCCAGGCGGCCCGCACAGGCCTCCCCGCCTCCGGCCGCTGCACACCCGACACCCCGAGGTACCTGAGTGGGTGTCAGCACTTTGCCCAGCTCGTCCACCACTGCCCCAGAGTAGGCGACCTGCATTGAGTGCTGAGGTCGTTCGTCCACTTCCTGCAGGCTCAAGGGCCCAGACCACTTGCTGATGTCCACCGGCATGGCGGGGCCGAGTGGGGCGTGCAGCCAGGAGTGTGGCGATATGCCAGGCGAGGGCAGCGGCGGCAGCAGCCCCGGCGTCCACTAGCGTTCGACAAACTGGCCGCAGCAGGCGAAAGCAGACGACCACGCGAGCGCTTGCGCATGCGCCCGAACCGCCGTCCTGCCTGCCGAGCGGCCTCCGCCCTCTGATTGGTCCGTCCCGACAACGCGGGGCGCCCAGCGCTCCCGGGTCAATGCAACCTGCTGTGCTGCGCAGCCAAACAGTGGTTCAGGCTGCAAGACCCTTGTATCAAGACAGGCATTTGGGGTGTTCTTTATTGCTTTTTCTCTTTCTTACCTTTTTGCATGATTCTTTGCTCCACTTTCCAAATTAAGAAACGGCAAGGCCTTGCTTTTCTCTTGTATTTCTCAACGTGCGTTTTCGCGCGTGCTCTCGTGTTGTATTGGTAATTGCCTGCCGAGAGCGCCTGTGGGAACTTTTGAGCATTTTCTTCACGGACGAATATATTTACACATATATTTGATTCCTGCACCCACCACTTTGGTCTCACAAGATTCCTGAAGAATTCTTTTTTTTTAAGAAATAAATTTTTCGGCTTGGCGCCTGTGGCTCAAGCGGCTAAGGCAGCAGCCACCTACACCTAAGGTGGCGGGTTCGAATCCCCAGCCCTGGCCCGCCAAACAACAATGATGGCTGCAACCAAAAAAAATGGCCAGGCGTTGTGGCGGGCGCCTGTAGTCCCAGCTACTTGGGAGACTGAGGCAAGAGACTCGCTTGAGCCCAGGAGTTGGAGGTTGCTGTGAG